AGAAGCTTCTTTAAGATTGTCAATTACCTGATATATAATTGACACATGTTGAACAAACTAAGATGTGCACACAGAATAGGGTGTTAAAATTGATCCACCTGATAAAAAGCAACTGCAGTTTGAGACACAGCAACTACAGAGAACAGCATTACACTATGACTCTCCACTGTATGTAATTTTAAAATGCATTATTCCACAGAATAAGATGTAGGCTGGAATTCAAGAACTCCGCCTATATTTGAAACTGCAGACAAGTCATGTGGGCTATACTGATCCCTCAGCCAAAAGGGAAAACCAATAAAGACTACTTGAATACCGGAACAGGATCATTGAGCAATGGAGGGAGACAGCCTGGTCTAATCAATCACTTTTCTTTTACATTGCAGGTATGGCCTAACATGTGTACTTCATTTTTTGAGAAACGCATAGTAAAAAGAGGTATTATGGGAATAAGGCAAGCTGTAAGAAGCAGTGTAATGCTGTAGGGAACCTTCGTATCGTAGTTTTGATACATGTTTCCCAGCCCTGACATTTAAGAGGTATAAAGACACGCTATTAAGGGGTACCATAAAATACTATAAAAGCCAGCTAAATTAATCCATCAAACACTGTAAGACACAGCATGTATAATAAACAATGCACGATATAGCCATATATTATTTTATTTTTTTCATATCATAATCACACTAATTAAATCCCTAGTAAACAGAGGTTATGGCACAACAGCTCAGAAATTGAATCAACATTAAGCAAGGCGATTTACCAGTGAGCACAGAGTGTGGCATGTAGAAAAGCTAGAGGCAACACTGTTGAAGGGAGAGAGATGAAAAATAGGCTTCCTCTCATCATGCCTTCATCACCATGGCACCGTAGGTTGCCAACGGGAGCCAAGAGTTATGGCAGATAGAGGGAGAGCAAATCTTCTAGACCTGTTGCTATTAGGCTCCCACTTCTACCTATTAATTTCTATCAGAAGAAGGTGGAATGGCTTGTGCACATGTTAGCAGGAGTAGATGAAACTACGACCCTGTGCTGAAGCACTGTAAGGAGCTGCATTAGGGTAAGATTCTACGCTTAGATGTAGAAGTATAGGCAAACAAACTAATTTTAAGTTTCAAATTCAGGTCCTGTTTTAAATCAGTTTAAAACAACTCTTCCGCATCTATATAGTACATAGCCTTACACACATTGTGCTGTCAAAAATTGTGTGATCCACATTAGATCACACATAGATCTATTGTGGATCTATTTAAACAGATTCACATCATAAACAGATTTGATATACTGTAGTTAAATGTAGAGAGAGATAAATGTGTCTAATTGTACAAATGTTGCCTTGATATGAATAATTTGTTTGAAAAGCATTCTTGAAATGTTTGTGAATCAGAGACAGCAGGATTTTCTGTCTTTGCTACAAAGCAAATCTTAACATTTGCCCCACAATGTGTTTGTTTCTGAGGCTTTTTAACTTCAAATTACAAACTATATAAACACAATAAAACCATTGACAAACATAGAACTTAATTACGCAGATATCTTCTAAAATTGTTTATTAATTTCTGAATGCATCACAAGATAATTGTAAACCCTTCCCCTCCAGGATGACGTTTGTTTAAACATGAGTATGCACAACAGACAGCAGACTTAGGTAAAAGCTAAGAGATCAAAATGGAAACTTGCTCAAAGATTCTTGTTTGACAAAATGTGGGCAGAGTTCTGATAATATGACAATTAACCTACTCATAATGCTCACTGTTTTTAAATGGGTATTTTGATGGTACTATTTTGATAATAACCATAATTCCTCATTTCCCACTGAATTCTGTTTAGCGTTTATAAATAGAAATAATATGTCTTTGCTTCGTGTTTTCCTCATTGTGTCTAATGATCTTATATTTATTTTCTGTACATCTAAAGGACCATGTAATCAACCTTTTTCAACTGCATGAGCAAAGGCGGGAGCTTTTTTATTGAATCTCTCAGCTGAAAGTCTTTATTTTCTTTTTCAAATGCATGCTTACCTTCTGGGTAAGGAAAAGAAACCATACATCACCTGTTTTAATTAAACATACCCTCATAGTGAAGTAGTGACAGCTGCAGAGAAATGAGACAAGAGAGAGATCAATTACCATGAGAGAGATGAAAAGAGTCAGAAGGGAGAGCGAGAACGGAGAGTGACATTAGTGAAGATGGAGAGAGCAGTCACTGTGACAGAACACAGCAAGGATGTGAAAAAAAAAAATCAGTCACGGCTATAAGTCAGGTGTCCTGCCTGATGGGCCAAGCCCTCTACCTGGGCTGCAAAAAGAGAGACTCCTCTACAGGGTGCCTGTCAGCCCTGCCGTAGTCTATTTCTTTAACAACATGCAGTCCGTTTTCCGTTACACAAGGGTCTGATGGAAGTTATGAATCACAGCAACTCAAATTTTGGAATGGTATGACCTCACAACAGGTTGGATATTGATTTTAGTAGGAACCCTTGATTTCAAAATGTTTTTGTTCACATACTAGTTAGAGAATAGCAGCACATTCAGAGCTGTATGTCCTATTTAAATGTCCCTTGTGTTTCATTGCAGCTTCTTCAGGTAAGAGCATTCTGTCAACAACTGACCAAAGCTGAGTAAAAGCGCAGCACATTTTAATGCTCTTTTGTTTTAGAAAATGCAGTGACTGGCTGCTGCCAGGAAGACACAGGAAGATGCAATTTTATATTTTGTAGATTTGTTCTAAAGAAGATCAAGTCACAGATTATTATGAAATCTGTGACTTGATCTAATCATGGCAAGTAGCAAAATACATGTAGGCCAAGGGGAATGGCTGAAAATTACCTATGTATACTCTGTTTAGTTGTGCATAATCTCCAACCCCTAGTACCTTCATAGTAATAAAACCAATGCTTTATATCTAGAAATAGGGGTCAACTCCAGTTACCAAATGATGCTAATGTTTGAAGCCAACTATAGGAGTAGTTCATAATAAGAATGTGTAATCTTCCATCATTTCGGTTTCAAAGTTAAGAAACTTAGGGCGCTCAAACCTAACTGGATTATTTTGAGTTTCTGTAGGACACAGTTTGAGTAAAACAATGAAAAAATATCAAAAATGAGCTTGGGATAAAGCATGCGTTGTCTTTAGAATATTTACATTAAGCTTTTTTTAAATTAATTTTTGGATGTTATTCACTGTTTCAAAATGCATTACAATATAAAAATAAATGGGATTTTTTTTCCCTCCAGAGGGCTTTTTGTGGGTTCTAGTGTCCCTAATATGACAGTATGCTGACATAAAACAGAATTTTCTCTTTTTTATAAAACAGAATTTTTTTTTTTTTCATCCTCCTGGTGAATTTTACAGAAAAGTGAAAAAGTTTTTTTTCTTTTTTTTGGCATTGGTGGAATCTATATTATAAAAGCTGCATTCAACACGACAGTAAAAATCAGATGTTTACTTCGTGGCACATGGTTACCAGAAAACACACTCATCTCTTAGCAACAGATTGTTATTGTTTAAAAGAGATAAAATTTCCTCTGCTCTTTTGAGAAACTACTAACTACTTAAAACTGGGGATTTTGTGGATTTTGCAGAATAGTTAAAATGTTTCTTTTTTGTCATTCGTGGGAAATATATTGTAAAACAGACATTAAACACAAAAGTAAAAATCAGATGTTTACTCCGTAGCAGTACTTTACCTGAAACAAACACTTATTATCTTAATACGGAATTAATAACAAGCAAAAAAATTGTTTATAAAACGTAAGCTCTTTTGAAATACTGCTTAGACACAAAAAATTTGCAGTTGGTAAATTTTGCAAAAGTAAAAATCAGACGTTTACCTCGTGGCACTTGGTGACCAGAAAACGTGCTCATCTCTAAGCAACAGATTATTATTCAAAAAACATAAGATTTCTTCTGCTCTTTTGAAAAACTACTTAAAAATTGTGCTGCTGGTGAATTTTACAGAAAAGTGAAAAAGTGTTTTCTTTTTTTGGCATTGGTGGAATCTATATTATAAAAGCTGCATTCAACACAAAAGTAAAAATCAGATGTTTACTTCGTGGCTCTTGGTTACCAGAAAACACGCTCATCTCTTAGCAACAGATTGTGATTGTTCAAAAGAGAAGATTCTTCTGCTCTTTTGAGGAACTACTAACTACTTAAAATTGTGGACTTTGTGGATTTTGCAGAATAGTGAAAATGTTTATTTTTTTGTCATTTGTGGAAAATATACTATAAAACACGTTCAACACAGAAGTAAAAATCTAACGTTTGCTTTGCAGCACCAGAAAACGCGCTCATCTCTTAGTAACAGATTGTTATTGTTCAAATAGCACCACCTCATTACGTGCTGCCTCACGCCAGAAACCATGCAGGCGTAATCCAATGTCAAGGAATGAATTTGTCTGCTGTCTAAGCCATCCTCCCTGCGTACTTTCCCTGGGTACAAAAACATTTTACTCAAGAAAGCTAGATCAAAGTTTATCAACTATTCGTGTTTTTCATCCTTTCAAACTGCCTCAAACTACTTCCTGGACTCTGGACTCCACAGAGCTTTCCTGACCTCTCCTCTAGCCCAGGGAATCAAACAGCAGATTTTGATTCTAAAAATTCACACACGTTTTATATAATATCTTCAAATTCTTATAAAACAGACATGAGCAGTTTCAATACCAAAACATCTCTGTCACTAAATATTTTCTGATTAGTTTTGTACTTTGGTTAAAATGAACTAAGAGATTTTTGATATGACTTAAACACTACTATGAATCTGATCTAATATAAAAAAGAAAAACTACTGATTAGATTAACATTAATCAAATTGTGTTCATTATATCTAAGAAACATTTTCTACTGATTAAATTATGTATTGATTAAACCATGAGTCTATTTCTACCCTAAATTAAGGCCTACTCAAAACAATCATAATTTGTCTAATATTTCAAACAACAAACTGATTGGACAAGGACGTAGCAAATTCTTTCAGTGAGGTGAGTAATGTTTACCTCAAAGTCTGAGGAGTCCTGAGGAGGAGCAAGGCTTCCAGGAGAGGTGGGGGATGACTCAAACTTGGATGGTCCTGACAGGGATGCTGCCTGAGGAGAGGAGGATGAGGATGAGTCTGGTGGAAAGATGGTGGGGGCCTCCTCATCCACTTGAATCCCATCATCCACATCCTCGACGATGGCAGCATCCTCATCCGGGCTGTTAGGATCCATGTTCAAGTCCTCAAACATGTGGCCAGCCTGCTGGTACAGGTACTCAACCCCAATGAGATCACCTGGGAGGAGACAGGATGGGGAAATGCTGATGAAAAACCGTTGCGTTGAAAGACTCACGAACCAAACCTCCTGAACCTGCTCCTACTCATCACAAACACTGGATCCATCATCAACAGACTGAATGAAGAGCAACTTCTTGAAATCTCCAGCTCCAAGACAACCCAGCCTTCAAGACTGCCATTGACCTGCCCACCACAGAGACCTTTTATTTTTTTTCCACATCACACCTGTCTTATCTGTTTTTGACCTTTTGTTTATAAACGCCACAAGAACAGCTGTATATTAGTTTGTTGCACAATTTCCCATGCAATGACATAAAATCAAATCAAATCAATTGCAGGGCAGACCTGCTGAGGACGAGGTAGGTTTGGAGGCAACCCCCTCTCAGACAACATAGGCTCTCGCCTTTGCCTCCACGTCCTCGGCCGCTTTGGCCCTGTAGGCTCCCTTCTGGGAACCCTGACCCCGAGCCTCACTAGAGGCCCTCAGGATCAGAGTCCTTTTGGGAGCCTTGGGGAATTTTATGTGTTCTGGCTAAAAACAATGGATTATGATAATAATAAAGTCACAAGAGAACAATATAGATCATGACATCACATAGCAATGATGGCCACAACCCAGTCAATGAAGATCAACTCACAGCCATGTTGAATTATTTTACTGATGAAACTGATGAAACTGGAGTAATTATTTAAAAAAAGAAACATAACAGTCCAATTAATAGGCTGGACCACAGCACTTGTCACCAAGTCTCTCCATCCCTCCCAGCATTTTAAGTGGAAAAATACTCAGGCAAGACTTTCACAGAGTTTAGGGTTTATTAACCCCTTTAAAGGTTCATGAAAATCGTCCTAAACACTCATACATTAGCTCATACCTGAGCAAAACACCGCATTTCAGCCTTGTGCTACGAATCATCAGTTGGCTTATTAAATGCGGAAAAAATTAAGTCCTACGATCATTTTTATGAACGGAACCGAGAAAGTAAAGCTAGCCGACAACTTTATGTAGCCCATGACAAAAACAAACATTAAATCCACGTTTTATTCATTATAAACCAACCTTTTGGTTTAAAATTACTGTCATACATTAAAGAGATTGATATTCGAAACATTTATCCGGTGGAAAACCACACATCCCATAAAATGTAGCTCTTACCGATCCGTACGGCGCCTGCACTCGCAAGTGACAAGTGAAATAGCCGATGATACCCGACTGCGGCCGAACGTTTTGGAACAAGCGAGACTTCCGATTGGGTGCCACAAATTGGCGCAAGCCAGCCATCCAGTCAGCTTCGCTGACTGGAACGTTGGAACACAAATAGAACAGAGAAGAATGCTTGCTTGTTGAAATATTACTTACTAGTACAACTTTAGTACAAATTTTGCAGTCAATGAATTTTACAGAAAAGCTAAAATGTTTTATTGTGGGTTTTTTTCCCTCATTGGTGGCACATATATTATAAAAGAGAGTCGACATTCAATACAAACGTAAAATCTGATGTTTACTTGATGGAACTTGGTTACCAGAAAACACGTTCATCTCTTAGCAACAGATTGTTATTGTTCACAAAACATAAGATTTATTGTGTTCTTTTGAAATATTATCTTAGGCCCTGTTTACACGACAACAGTTTCTGATGAAAACTGACGAGTTTTGTTGTGTTTGTGGTGTACATTTACATGAAACCACCGAATGTTTTCTCTGACAACAGCACAGATAAAAAACGGGTTTCAGAGTGCAATGGTTCAAAAACGTACCGGTGTCCCTTGTCTTGTAAACAGAATAAATGGATCTTTATGAATCCCTATCTCACGCATGATATGACGCAAAACATAGCTGCTTCCTACAATCCACAGAAGAAGAAGAAACTACAGACAATGCTGGTGTTACTACAATTTGTGTTTTCCCATCAGACGCGGTTCCCCCACCGTCTCGTCACCACTCCGCACCGCCCAGGTGGCAAAATGCGCGTGAGCTTGTTGAGCAGTTCTCTTAATTAGAGAACTACGGACACCGTGGAAGCTCAAACAAGGTATTTCAGCAAGGTTATCCCACTTTTTTTCAAACTACGCCTTTATCAGACGCATATAGTGCGTGTTTTCTCCCAGTATCTGGGGGACCGTACCTGGTGGAGAAACACGAATCGACATGCTTGCTTTCAAGTAGAACTTTTGCTTATTTAAAATTCGTTTCAAAGAACCTAGAACCGACTAGTGGCGTGGCGAGAGCATTACACCTTTTCGATGTGCACCTTTACTTTGTAAACAAAGGCCCTGGTTACACGACAATGATCCAACGAAAGAGGAATTTTTGTTTCATTTCTGTTATTCCATTTACATAGGGACGTTCTAATTAACATCTTTGTTTACCGTTTTAGTAACGGTTCAGATTGTACGGTAATTAGAATGTCTTCATGTAAATGTGTACAGAAACTCCATTTTTGTTGGATCATTCTCATGCGAACATGGCCTTATACTACTATAATTTCCTGAGGGAGTCTTCCCAAGGGATTAATAAAGTACAAGTCTAAGTCTACTTTTTGCAAGAATTGTGCAGTTGGTGAATTTTGCAAAAAAGTGAAAATGTGTTATTTGTCATTGGTGGAAATTATAGTATATTTCAAAAATGAATGACACTCCTAATAGCCCTAGCAGTAATTTCACTAGCCTTAGCTTTGATGTTCAGTGGAAATAAAAACTCAGTGTGGAAAATAGAGAACTTTCACTTAATATGCAAATTTAAGTGAAAGTTATGTTAACATAAACATTAAGCACTACAATTAATGACTTAAGTTGCAAATGTGTTGCAATGCTCATGATTAAATGGAATTCCTTTCACAAAAACTAATTACTTATTTCCAACAAAAATATATTTTCTCTGTGCCACTTGGTAAAATTAGAAATATCTTCTAAATTTTTATGGTAGCGTTTTATGACATCATATATAATTTTTCTTAACTTTTGCAGAGTATTTTTAACAGTACAAATAAAAAAATGCAAGCATCTCTCCCAACCATCATAGCCTTCAGACATTTTTCACCTTTTCCACCATAGCACTGCAAATCATATTTCTAGGCACAGCTGAGTGTTGGTGTCAAAAAATGAATACAACAGATATCAGAACAATTTAAAAGAAAGCCGTGATGGTAAAACAAGAAAAAATAAGGACAGCAGAACAGACTGCTGTTTTTTATATTCGCCTGTGTATCCATATGTGCCATTATCCAAACACACACAGCAATATGTGGAGACATCTATTTGTATTAGCTGTGAGGAGAATGGGATTTCACGCCACAAAGAACCAAATGCAAGTCAAAGATACAAAAAAGACAAAAGAAAAGCAACATGTGTTTTTTTTGTATATATACATTTTAAACGTTTGAAGGAAATTGAATTTTCAATAAAATGTACTGCTGCTATAAATTTTGTAAAATGGGGAATTTGATTGTTAGAAGAAGTCATCAATCATGACATACAGGCCTATTATAACCTTCATGATTTACTCTGGTCACAAATGTTATTTTCCTCAGATGGAGTCATTACATTTTCAAAATGCTTTTCCTGTGTGTAGGGTTCAGCATTTATCTAAATGACTGACAATGAAGTGACCTTTCCAACTGGCATATGTTTATTCATCTGCTTTCTTGTGTCAAGAGTGAGGAACATCCAAATGCCAACCTACAGTTTAAAACAAATGTGTTATGTTTCACACTTAATCACACATATGGACTTAAATCACCAGTTTTATTGCAGCACTTAAAGCGATAGGAAACACAAACATAACATCGGCTCTCTCATTTGCTTTGTATGTGTAAGCATCACAGCACAGGACAACATTAGTTCCCTACAGAGTGAAGCATGTCCGATAATATTCATTACAATTTTCTAGCATTGCTTGCTGCAGCAGCACGTTTTGCTGTGAAAGAATTGTCCTTTATTTTTAATCAGGGTCATTCGTGGATTTTGGCCTCTATGTGTCAGACAAATCTCATCATGTAAGCATCTTGCATCAATGATGATCATATGAAAGTCTCTCCACATGAATGCTGTATTAGATCACTGGATGATTTAGGAAACCAAATAAACGGCAAAATATTTTCTCACTACTATGCTAGCTGCAACATTACAGGATCATAAATATTTAAATTAAATTAAAGCACTTCTGGTTTTGTACTTTTACAAGTTTGACACACTGTAAATTAATACAAATATAAGGAAGTTTTCACTTTAAATTTAAATATCTTTACTATTTAGAATTGAGAAAGGAGCTTTTGAAGCGAATTTAGCAGACATTTTTCTTAATAGCTTAAGCAGCTTAAGACCTTTAAAACATTTGGCACCAAAACGGAAATCTTATTTATTTTTTGTTGTTGTTTATTTATGCATTATATGCTTGTTTACATCAGATAAAATGCTTACTAAAACATGGTGAAAATACTGGTAATTTTGAGTACACTTTTATAAAACTTAAAATGTGCTTAAGGATTTCCACTAGTGCAGGTATTTTCGTCCTCTTGATTTATTTTACTGAACATGTGAGATTTTGTGTGTAATGGTGTGTGTATACAAATACAGCAGAGAAAGGATAAACCCAGCGTGGTTCATATCAAATCAGTGTGAGGGATTGCTATGTTTGGTGTTTAAATTTGTATTTCAGCTTCGCCGAACAAACACTGCTCTCTGATATCTCAGTATCATGCTTTGACACATTCTGCTATTCCAAGCAGAACCAAAAAATTGAGGCGATAAGCTGACCTTGAAGTACAACATGTATCAGTGATACACACAGTGGAGCAAAGGCACTATCAACACAACAGTCCTCTTACTGTTGTATGGATATTATCACAGTAATAAATGTTTTATTCTGAAAGATAAGAAATGTGTAATTTTTTTTATGTGAAAATACTGCACCTGATGTGACATGAATAGCACCTTAAAAGTTCGACTTGATTAATTCCATATTACAATCACAAACCTTGTGTATTTTGAGAGATTTTTTGTGATAAACCAGAATAACGTTGTACATCTTTCTGAGTGAGTAGTAAAATTATAAAGGGCAGACATATTTTTAAAAATAAATCTCTGTAAAGGATGACTGCATATGTATTCAGCCCATTTTGACAAATTGGAGCCAACAACCTTCAGAAGCTACCTAAGTAATAAACAGAGACCATCTTTGAGTACTTCAGTGGTTCTGTAAAGTCCTCGGAGGTCTGTGAAAGACCATCTTTAAAAAATTATTACAAAGTCCAATGTATAAACCAGAAGGTGGAAGACAAATTGCAATAACAAACAAAAAACACATCACTACAGGGCAACTACAGTGAATTTTAAACAGACATAACGACGTCTAAATGAGGAACTTTTTCCCAAGCAACAAAAATACCGGTGAATTCTCTCCCTCTTCATTCATCTCCCATGGAACTTACGCAATGATTTGACAAGTGCTCCTACATCCGAATAACCACCCAGACTCTTGAAAATTAGTTTCCAACTTTAAAATTGATGTTCACAAATCCTCTCCATCATATCTACATCTACACACACATCTGCATCTACACTGCCCATTCATTTTACAAAAATGAATGGGCAAAATGTTAATTCTCCAAACTACGAGCTGTAATTGTGCTAAAAGGCTGTTCTTTGAAGCAATGACTCAGGGGTCGAATTTGATTATACACCACATTTTTCACATTCTGTAGCTAAAAAAGTTTACTAGGCATGTATTAATTTTCTCCCACTTGACAATTGTGTCGCAATTGCCATGTGAGTCGATAACACACACATGTCTGTGTGTGTGTAGATGTAGATAAACTCTGTTGTTCTGTTACAAATGTTAACCAAGTTTATTGTGTTATTTTTCAAATAATTTATTGAAATTGTTTTATAATTACCAACCAACCTGCTTTTTGCATTTATTGCAACATTTTACCCACAGTTCTAACTTTAGATAAAGACATGTTAAAAAAAAACTTTCCAAGAAACCAATATTCTTTAACAGTCTTTCTATTGGCTTATCAAAAGTCCTCTGCAAACAGTCTCTTTCAGCATGAGAGTTTCCCAGAGACAGGAAAGACGATTATTTCACATACACTCCTGAACTCCAAGCTGACTCCAAACCAAATAGCATCAGTCGTTTCATCTCCTCTCCTGGCTCTTGGTCATAAAGAAGGTAGCTCATTGTCCATGAAACAATTTCAGCCTCTGAGGAGATGGCCTGTTCCAATACTTGCTTTTCCCTGCTGCTAAATATAAAACACA